CTTTTTATTTTTATTTAATTTATTTTCTTTATAACTTTTTATTTCTATTATTTTAATTTTTTAATTTTATTTTTACTTTTTAATTTCGTTTAAAATTTTAAAATATATTTTTCTTTGTACATTATTTATCTTTTATTTCTCTATCTTTACTTCTTGTGATTCTATGTAATTGCTTATATTTTTTTTTTCTTATTCTATTTTTGAAACTACTCCTCCTAATATTAGAAATAATGGTTCATTAATAAACTTGGCATATAATGAGTGATGCACTTAAAGTGAAATTTCGTTGTTGAATGTGGTTATAAACTTACCATGTTTCCTAATCTTAAGTTGCAGTGGAACTTACTATTATTATGTTGGAATTTGACATATGTAAAACTATTTTTCTTTTTCTTTTTTTGAATATTGAAATTGTGTTATATTCATGGTTCCAATTTACCTATTTTAGTAGTTTTGGCTCATGTTCCAAGTTGTTCATTTTTTAGGTAGATTTGATAGATTAGTTTTGTCAAACATTTGATTAATGTTATGACACTATATTTATAAATATTAATTTATTTTATCAAACATGAATTCCATGATGTTCTTACAAAACGTATATTTTTTGTTTTTGTAAGTATCTAAACTAAATATTATTAACTTAAGAAATATACTATATAAATTATTTTTACAATATTAGTTATAAATACATGATTACTAATTAATGTATATTTACGAAAAAATATACATCTTAAATACTAAATATAATATTATTTATACTTATAAAAATTTATACGCATATATTTATTATATTAATTTTTAAGTTTTGATAATTACTTAATTTAAAATTTAATCTAACTGTGTAATTACACTTGTGCAACCAAACAGTAAACTTGTAATTACACTATAATTACACTATGTCAAACAAACAGGTCATCATAATTATACAACTGTGTAATTACTAGGCTGTGTAATTACTACCCTAGTAATTATATCAATTCCAATTACAGGATGGCTTTCCAAACACACTCTAAATCATCTCTTTATTAATTATTCGGATTTTGCTGTCTTCTTCTTTTGCATATTACAGGACCCGGAGATAATCAAGTTTATGAGAAACCAACACCTCGTCGCTTGAAATCTGATGAATTCCGTGGAATTGTCAATGATTTCAGGATCGCAGCCCGTAATGCCATTAAAGCTGGCATTGAGTTAAATTATTCTACTCTATCCCCTTTGATAACTGAACTTCAGTTCAACCAATTATGTTATACGTACCGACATTCAATTTTTACCTTGTCTGTATATTGTAGCAGATCTAGAAGAGCTAAGACCCTTGTTATTCTACTCTCTTAATTAAGAATATTACAAAACATGTTGCTTTCATTCATTAGCCGTACAAGACTGTCAATGGCAAGCTTGCCCCATTAATTAACAAAGCTATAGAATAATAAAAATAACAATTCCTCTAAAATTCAGAAAAGCAAACAAATTCTACCCATTTCTGAATTTACTTCTCAGAGGAGTTTGGTCCTCTTTTCTTGCCAAAGCCAACAACAGCAGTAACGAAACGCCTATTATACTGCATCCTTTAGTGTGCCCGGCTACGGGGCTTCTTTTTCTTATCTTGCTTGGCGACTCTGGGTGTTTGGCCTCTCACCTTACCAGCACGAGCCAATGATCCGTGAACCTTTTCCATGGTTGATTTTTCAGATCTGGAGGAGCAAAGCGTAAAAGATTTTTTAATTTTCATTGCTTCAATTTCATTAATTAACTTGTTTCCCATGATAAAGGATTTCATGGAGTTGAGATCAATGCTTCGACTGGTGGCTACTTAATTGATCAATTCATTGATGGAAGTATTGAGGGCTGAAGGAACACGTTAATCTAAACACATTAGATAGCGCGTAAATCGTAAAACGAGAACTTACTTGTTCTTCGTGAAGCGGAAACGAAAATGGATTGAATCGCGACTGGAATTACTGGTCGGCGATGGTTGTCACAATGTGTTGGAGCAACCCCCAATTTCACAGTCTAAACCCTTGTTTGGATTGAGAGAGAGAAAGAGCGCGTGGAAAAATATTGCTCAGGGTATTTTTAGTGTACACACAAAGTGTACTTATATAGGGAATATTAGGGTTAACTAATAATCCTATTAGGCCTTAGAGCACCCCTTATGGGTGGACCCAATATTTCCTACATCTCCCACTCACACATAATGGGAGTGCTCATCTAACCTAAGAAACATATTCTCAACTCATCTCCTCAATCATTCATACAGGGAAGTAGACCGTGCGACCAGCATACTGTGAGAGCTAAGTGCTATACATCTGTTAGGAGTATATAGCCTCTCGTCGAGCGCAAACCTGCAAGTAGATCATAAAGTATGCAGTACCCTAGATCATATAAATCACATTTGATATAGTCTCAAAATCTCATATTTCATTATTTCTTATATTCACAATTACAACTCATAAGTTATAATTGGTGCACCAGTGAATACAAATAAATGAGATTCCATCAATGATCTTCCTCTTCTCACGATTCCCTTAACATTAGTATGACTGCTTTTCTAGATATGTTCCGCTAGACCGAATTTGTGTACATGATTCCCTTAAAAATATGTATGTATGTAAATCAACTTTATTGACAATCAAAGAACATCATTTGTGAACACGGGAAAATAAATAACAAAATAAAGTATCTCAGAGTCTACGCAAGCCTTGAGACCTAGTGTGTCTCACAAATGCATCTCTAGACAAAGACTTGGTCAATGGATCTACTAACACATCTTTTGTAGACACATACTTCACATTCACTACCTTGCGTCTAACCATGTCTCTCGCATAGTTATACTTGATATCTATATGTTTGGTTTTACAATGAAACTTAGGGTCCTTGGTGGAGGATATTACAACCTCACTGTCACAGTAGACTAATATTGGTTCAGTATTTTCAGTGATATCCAACAAGTGCTCCAAGAACTTTTTCAACCAAACAGTTTCTTGTGCTGCTGATGCGAGAGCCACGTATTCAGCTTCCATCGTAGATAGTGATACACATGATTGTTTCTTACTACTCCATGATATGGACCCATCACCGAGTAAGAAATCATATCCCGAGGTAGACTTCCTCTCGTCTAGATCTCCTCCATGATCAGCATCACTATATCCAACTAATCGCAGATCCTTGCCGCCTTGATAACAAAGGGCATAATCAGCAGTTCCCTTCAGATATCTTATGATCCTCTTTACTGCTTGCCAATGTGCTAAACTTGGGTCAGTTTGATATCTACTTACCAAGCCAACTACTTGACAGATATCAGGTCTAGTGCACAACATAGCGTACATTAGACTTCCGATGCGCTTCTATTCTTTCTATCTCTTCAGGTAGGGGTTTTCATAAAAACTCAAAAAACCGAACCAAATCGAAAACCAAACCAAACCGACCAAAAAAACCGATACTTTTTGGTTTGGTTTGGTTTTGGTTTTGAATTTTAAAAACCGATCAAATTTGGTTTGGTTTTGGTTTTAATCAAAAAGTAACCGAAAAAAATCGAACCAAACCGACTATAGGACTAGCTATTTCAAATTTATTATTACACCTATATATATGTATATTTTTATACAAAATTTCAAAAGTTTTATGGTGAATATTAATCGTTTGCACTTTTAGTACAGTTCTTTACCTTTATATTCTAGTTTGATTGGTAGTTTTCTTTTGTTAAGTGTAATATTCCATTTCATGTTAAAAAAAATATATTTTTAATTGAGTCCTTAAATTATTCATCAATATTTGATTCAATTATCATCAATATATTTTAGTAAATAATAGATTTCTCAAAGGGCAACTGATTTGATAGTGTTACGTTGAAAATGTGGTCGTCGGAATATGTGTTTGATAGTGTATATCTTATATTTAAGAAAAACCCGACAAAAAACCGAAAAACCCGAAAAAATGACAAAATCCGACATAAACCGAATCGAGAAAAAACCGACTTAATTGGTTTGGTTTGGTTCTAATATTTGAAAAACCGACTTACTTGGTTTGGTTTCTTTTTAAGGAAAAATCAATCCAAATCGAACCATGAACACCCCTATCTTCAGGAGTCTTAGGACACATCTGACTTCCCAAGGTATGGCCTTTACTGATAGGAGTTTCAGCTGGGCTACTATTTTGCATATTGAATCGTTCAAGAACTTTTCTAATGTAATTCTCTTGTGACAGATACAATAGTTTCTTTGGACGATCTCTTGAAATCTTAACTCCAAGAATATATGCAGCTTCACCCATATCTTTCATCTCAAATTGAGATGACAACCATGAATTCATCTCGGTTATAAACTCCTTATCATTTCCAGCTATAAGTATGTCATCTACATACAATGTTAAAATCACAAGTTTGTTCCTTGATCTTTTGGTATAAACGCAATGGTCTTCATCCATCATGGTAAAACCATTGGATACAACAACATACTGAAAGCGTAAATACCACTGCCTTGAAGATTGATTGAGGCCATAAACAGACTTCAAAGTCTACAAACCTTTTGTTCGTGGCCCTTTTCAATGAAACACTCAGGTTGTTCCATATAAATTTCTTCATCTAGTTCTCCATTGAGAAAGGCAGTCTTTACATCCATCTGATGTAATTCAAGATCCAAGCTTGCAATAATAGCTAGAACCAGGCGAACTGAGGTAAATCGTACAGCAGGCGAGAAAGTCTCTTCATAGTCTATTCCTTTCTGCTGTGTATACCCTTTCGCCACCAGTCGAGCCTTATATCTCTCAATTGTGCCATCAACCTTGAGCTTAATTTTGAGAACCCATTTGCTCCCAATTCTTTGCGTCCTTCAAGGAGTTCATAGTTCCCAGACTTTGTTGACTCTCATAGACTCCAATTCATCTTCCATTGCTTTTGTTCATTTATCCTTAGAAGGGCATGAGAGAGCCTCTTTTACATTTTTAGGCTCATTTTCTTCTTATAGGAGCATCATAAATAATTCACCGCCTTCAACATCAAATCATCGGCGGGGAATCTTTTTACGAGAACCACGTCTTATTTGTGATTCATCATTGTTCCCATTTGGATCAATGTTTCTCCCACTCGGATCAAGATCATTCATCATGCTCCCACTTGGAACAAAATATGTGACCATCTCTCTCCCACTTGGAACAAGATCCATTTGGTCACTTCCACTAAATACAGAAGGATTACTTTCATTCGCATCTGATGATGAAGGAGGTCTTCGATGAGAAACTAATTCATCATGTGCTAAAATTCTCCCACTCGAATGAAGTGATCCTTGTACTTCTTGATCCATTATCTCAAATAAGGTTAGGTCTTGACCTACCTCTCCCTTCTTAGGGAATTCATCCTCTAAGAATGGGACATCTCGTGATTCAAACTCAATTACACTCCCACTCTCTTGCTGACCTATAAACACATAACCCTTTAAGGTTTCAGAGTATCTTATAAAGATACATTTCTTTCCCCTCGGGCCCAATTTGCCATATTTGTGAGAGGAATCATGAGTATAGGCAGCACAACCCCAAGGTCTTAATACACTCATGTCGGGTTGTCTTCCAGTCCATAACTCATATGGAGTAATAGTAACTGATTTTGTAGGCACTCGATTAAGCACAAAGGTGGCAGTAAGCAACGCATCACCCCAGTAACTTATTGGGAGGTTAGCTTGTGCCATCATTGACCTAACCATTTCTAGGAGCGTTCTATTTCTTCTTTCCGTAACACCATTTTGTTGTGGAGTATTTGGGATATTCAACTGATGAATTATTCCTTTTTTATCACATTATTAAACTGGGTTGATAAGTATTCATGACCACGGACAGTTCGAAGAGCTTTTATCTTCTTGTCTAATTGATTTTCCACTAAGCTCATATAGCATTTGAAGCAACTTATTGCTTCTGATTTGTGGGAAATCAAATAGACACAACTGAAACGGGTAAAGTCATCAATAAATGTGATGAAATACCTTGCTCCATGCCTAGCCCTAACATTCATAGGCCTACGGATGTCCGAATGGACTAATTGCAAAGGATATTCGGCTCTAGTTGCCTGACCAAAAGGTTTTCTTGCAGATTTTCCAGCTAGACAATTTTCACAAATGCACAATTCTATATGTTCAATGCTGGAAAGCAAACCTTGTTTTGCTAACCTTTGCTTTCTTTGTTGGCCAATATGACCAAGTCTAGCATGACATATGTTTACATCACTATCATATTTATGTGAAGAAACAAACATAGAAAAACTAGCATTATTATTAAATGAATCATAATCCAAATCCATAATAATTAAACCTCCGGTCACATGACCAAAACCAAATAGTGTTTAACCAAAAGTCAACTTGGCAGAAGTGCCATGACAAAACAAGTCAAATCCTAGCTTAAGAAAAACTGAAACTGAAATAACATTTCGACGAATTATTGGTGCAAAGAGAACATCATGTAGTATTAGGTCTCGACCACCACGAAGGACTAACTTGCATGTACCGATCCCTTCAACGGCAACTTTATTGTTGTTACCCACATATATCCACTTTGCTCCACGTGGAACTCGCCGAAATTCAACAAAGGCACTACGTTTCCAGGCTATGTGGTCCGTTGTCCTGAGTCTGCAATCCACAAAGGATTAGATTCAGTTAGAAAAACATATTTAGAAACACAAAGTTCACTAATTCAAGCATCGTGAAATACCTTTCTTGGAGGCTTAGAGCAATCTCTGGCAGAGTGAACCATCTTGTCACAATTATAGCATTTCACTTTAGCAACTTTGACACGTTTGGGATGTCTGTTCTTGCCTTTTTCAATCTTTGCTCTTTTAGCAGGCTGAGCTTCAGGTTGCCCTTTCTTCTTTCCCCAGTTCCTTTTCTTTGAATCACTCTTGGTTTTGGAGGTTGTTGCCATGTGCAACTCAGCTATTGGCTTTGCAGCCTCAAGTCGTTCCTCCTCTAACTCAAGGTATCTCCGGACATCTTCTAGAGTTGTTATTCGCTCATTATGGGTCAAATGCATTTTCATATGATCCCAAGAACTAGGTAAAGAGCGTATGACAGCTTGAATTTGTTGTTCATCAGTCAACATATGACCAACATCTTTCAACTCCCCGATCATATTTGTCATTTGCCTCAGATGTGTTTTCATTGAATGTTCTGGGCGTTTCTTATATGAATCAAATTTGATCGTTAAGAATCGCAGCCTTGTAGTGGAACAGGTACCAAAACCTTTTCCTCAAAGCATTCCAAAGATCCATAGCTCTTTGGTGATCCTTAAACTCCCTTAGAATGTCATCATCTAAGGTGCTCAACAACGTAATGCGAGCAATGCAGTTCTTTTTCTTCCAACTTTCATAGGCTTCACGCTCATGCCTATGCTGAGCAGTGTTGCCTTCCTCAGGCTCACTCATGGCATTGTTGATGGCCTCCAAAGCCTCTTGCTCCTCTAGCACATACTAGACTTTCAAGCTCCAGGTTTCATAATTGTCACCATTGAGTTTTAACCCTTTGTTGAGCTAAGCAACAATATTTTTCGAAGCAGTAGTCATTCTTTAACAAAATAAAAATATATTATGAGGATCATGTAAAAAAAAATAAAGCAAGGCACGATGTTCTACATACATACATACATATTATGACACTAAGCATCAATTGATTAAGTTAATAAACACAGATATTAATTATGGAGTAGAAAGTTCACTATGTTCCCAATCATCATCCAAAAATTAAAATATTATAAAAATTAATCTATTCAATTATCTAGCTAAGCGTCTTAATCATGTTTAAGACATCATAATTATCTAATCATGATTTTACAATCCCATGCGGATCATAAGTTAACAGACAACTTATATTAGCATGTAAATAAAATTAATGTCAAACTAATTGACATTTATTACATGCTATACAATTTCACATAAAATTTACTTTAATGTTAAACTAATTAACATATTATATATGTTAAACGAATTAACAAGTGATGCTAATATTAAACTAATTATTATTTATATCATGCTCACAAATTAACAAACAAGTTTAATATTAAACTAATTAACATTTCATGTAATTGGGATAATAAAATAACTATAGATTTCATAAAAGAATATAAATACTAAATTTATATTCTGAAGTCAGAAAATTTTCGAAATTTGGGATTTATTAAAAAAATATAACTAAATTTATATTTTATTTAGGCCATTAGCCCACAATAAAATTAAACGAGACATACAAAAGTGGGCCTTTAGCCCAATGTCTTAAATCTGCCATAAAAAAAAACAGGTCAATTTCGGATGGCCCGTTAGCCCAATTATTAGATCTGTCAACTTTTGAAAGAAAAGGAGCAATGCAACATTTGAAGCCCAAACTCACAAAAAAAAAAAAAAAAAGAAGAACCCCATGCTTCTTTAACTTCAGCATAGAGGCTGCCCACGTTTTTTTTTTTTGGTTTGTTTATTTATTTATTTATTTATGTATTATTAAAGCAGATTTTAAAGGAGAGAGAAACCCTAACTTTCTTCTCCCATTTTTCTTAAGTCACAGCTGCCACTTTCATGGACTTTGCAAGAGAGAAGACTTTTCCTTTTCTTCTTCCTTTCTATCTTTGTTTTGGCATTTACGGAAGGGAAGCCATTGCTTCATCTCCTTCCTCTTTTATTTTCATCAGTGCCACCTAGAGCCGTCAAAATAGGCTTGGCTCGTGAGACCAGCCCAACCCAGCCCGCTACTTGGGTAGGGTTGAGTTGGAATTTTTTTAGCCCATTTAAAATTGAAGCATATAAGCCCGGCCCAAGTCAGCCCACTGGCCTTTGAGGCTTGACCGAGGCTGGGCCTGGACCGATCCGTGGGCCAAAAAATAGTTATATTCAAATTTAAATATTTAAAAAAAGTAAGAACTAAAAAATAATATTAACTATAATCTTCATTTTCCAACCTTAGATTGCTCATTTACCCTTCCATACCAACTAGAATTTATATTTTTGATATGCATGTAGTATGATAAGATTAGTTTTTCTTTTGCTTAATTAACAATGAACTAGGAAAGTTTTAAGTGGCCAATAATATTCTTTTCAAAAGAAAATATTATTTTAAGTGGCCAATGATTAGTTTGGTTACTTTAATATAATACTAATTATTAAATTGCTCTTAAGTATAGAAAAAGGTCAAGTTTTAATACCAAAAAAAATTGAATACCAGCAAATTTCATGGATTTTAAAATTTTCATGGACTATAATGATGAAATCGACAAATAAGGTTAAACCTAAATTAAAAAACCTTAACATATAAACTTATTGAAGCAATTACTGAACCTAAGGAAAGTGAAAGAAAAGTACTTAAAAATATTCATGTAACGTTAAAAAAAAAAGAGCTAGACATATAGAGAATTTACATATCAATTACGAGATTCCTTGTCAAATATCAAGATTCTTGTACACTCTAAATAAACAGAAGTCGTTTATATGATCAAGAGATTATATCACGAAAAAATATTTAAAGATTTGAAGAAATATTTTTTTCTAAAAAAATTGAAGGGCCCGCCCGCGACCCTCTTAGGGCTGGGCTGGGCTGGCCATTTTAAGGCCTACATAGATGGAGGGACCGTCCGTCCTAGCCCACCAAATTTAAAAGCCCACGAGGCTTGGGCTGGGTTGGGCTGGGCTAGCCCGTTTTGACAGTTCTACTGCCACCGCTAGTTTTGTGGAAGAAGAAAGAAGCAAATTCTTCCATTCTATTCTTTGCCATGGCTATTAGTGAAAAAAGGAGAAGCTTTTCTTCTCTTAATTTCTCTATTATAAACACCACCGGTGGCGACGGTGTAACACTTGTGGCGGCAGTAGCAAGACAGATTGGAAAGATCAGTTTCCAACACAAAACCTTTTTTTAAATTTCGAATCAGTTTTAAAAAAACTGATTTAATAAAATTCTATATTGAAAGGCTGACATATATGTTATTCTCTCTTGTTTATCAAGATTTGAAAACTAATTTCAATTAAATTGATAAAATAATTAACTCGATGAGACTAAACAGATTAATCCGTCTAATAGCACAGAAAAATACAGGTTGTTTAACATTCATATAGAAAATCAAAAATATTCTATATTTTGTTACCGGAAAACCAGTCTATGGCTTTGATACCAATGAAGGACCACGTTAATCTAAACACATTAGATAGCGCGTAAATCGTAAAACAAGAACTTACTTGTTCTTCGTGAAGCGGAAGCGAATACGGATTGAACCGTTGCTGGAATTACTGGTCGGCGGTGGTTGTCACGATGTATTGCAGCAACCCCAATTCCACAGTCTAAACCCTTGTTTGGATTGAGAGAGAGAAAGAGCGCGTAGAAAAATACTGCTCAGGGTATTTTTAGTGTACACACTAAGTGTACTTATATAGGGAATATTAGGATTAACTAATAATCCTATTGGGCCTTAGAGCACCCCTTATGGGTTGACCCAATATTTTTTACGAGGACCGTTGTCGACTTGCCGTAGAAGCAGTGATCAATGAAATCGGAGCTGATAAAGTTGGTATGAAACTGTCTCCTTTTACAGATTCTGATGGCGAAGAAAAGGATTCAAATGTAGATGCAATAGCAATTTACATGGCTAATGAATTAAGCAAACTAGGTGTACTTCTCTATCTTCATGTGACTGAGCCAAGAGATGCAGCTAAAGGTCTTGTTCCAATTAG